CAGCAGTCTGAGCTACAGTAGCTCATTTGTTGGATCGGACCACACGGGCCAGACTTCACTTCCCACATGCATTACTTAGCCTTGGCCACCCATGACCTGTCTCCGGTTCACCACTTTTCCTTCCATGGACCACTTTTGATAGGTACTGACCACTGCAGACCAGGATCACCCCACAAGAGCTGCAGGTTTGGAAATGGTCTGACCCAGTCATCTAGCCATCACACTTTGGCCCATTTAAAGTCGCTAAGATCCTTACACTACCCATTTTTCCTGCTTCTAACACATCAACAAAAAATGTTCTCTTGCTGCCTAATATATCCCACCCACTGACAGGTGTCATGATAACAAGATAATCAGTGTTATTCACGTCACTTGAACCTACATGAGGGATTGTGTAGATGAAACACCAAACTGTGTGGAAAATCATTTAAACTCAACTGCTTTCCAAGCTGTTACTTCATATAGGCTTACAAAACATTAAAGTGCTGTTACAGTGTTATGTGCATTCCAGTAGCTGAACATAAATCAACCCCAAGCAGGTTGATGAGCTGTTTTTATGAAATAAAGCAAGTAACATAAATCATCACTAAATTTGTATTGTGCAGCTCCTGCTGACTGAACTATAGCCTACAGTTCGGAAGAATTCACTTAGGATGCCACTGTGTCTGCCTGTATCACATTTTAAACACACCGTTAGCTCTTTAATGTCAGTGGCAACACCTGGCTTTGCAGAAGTGCATCGCTCAAGGATTTTCCCTTCCTGGCGTCTTAAATTCCTCTGCAAGATGTTCATATGTGATCCTCAGAGGACACACAGAGGAAAGAATTGAGGATAAAACAGACTGAGGACATCACATGTTTACAATTCCACTGATGTATCATTAGCATACCAGTCATTTCCACCTTCATTGCGCTGGTTTTTTTGCTCATGTTAACCCAAATTTAACATTTGGAAACGGCAGGTAATGGATACCTGAAGACCTGCTTTATCCAAGGTCTCTCAAAATGTCTCTCCAAGATGTTCTGCACATGTGCTACTGGAATTTCCCCTCCCTTTGGATGCATGTGTACTCAATCTATGACCTATGAATTTATAACTCAATGTATATATTTTCCAAGAATAAACCCACAATTTCAACCAGATCTAAACTGTAAAATCTTCCCTTAGCTCTGAACAGATACATGTGGAGTGGAAACAAACGTCATATTTTAAAGTTGTGAAAATCTCCTTTTGTAACAATAGGCTTCTTCATTTTTATGTGGTCTAAAAGATTGACAGATCAAGGTCCAAAAGAGGCCTTGAGGTATCTGCACTTCCAAAAATGAATGGTTCAATTATGACTCTTAACCCATATCAATTGGAAACATGAGTGACTCTACCATCCAAGTCTAGCCATCCTTAAGGAACAACATATGTCGTTACAGGGCGATCTGCGTTCCCTGCACATATGGTAACACTGACGCTTGAGGGAACGTTTATCATGGGTCAGTGCCACACTGTACCAGAGCTTCACAGAAACTTATTTACTTCAATAATCATCAACATGCAGTAATGCTGCAGGAAATGTGAAAAGCCATGGAGTCCATTCCAATATGTGCTACAACGAATGAAAAGCAGGAACGGAGTTACAAATGAAGAGTGAGAGTAATACTCTCAACATTTTGATAGCAAGTGACATAAATGATGACACTTTCCGGGATAGTATTCATACTTTTTCCCATTATTTGACAGAGCTTTCTCTGCAGAATGAAAAAAGCCTGCAAGGAGACACATTTTTAATTTGTAAGGTAAGGTTCTGATAGTCTGTTCCACTTAGGATCTGGTTCTCGGATACCCATTTTTGTCTTATCGATACTTTTCATCTCTCCTTACTCTTGTTATTAGCAAAAAACTAGGCAAAAACATTTAGGAGACGTTTCTCACTCTTAGTCGGCATTGATTATCAATTTTGCAAGTTACAATGGTAAACATCACTGGTGACAGATTGTAGCAGCTGTAGGTAATTATTGTTAATTCTAAAGCAGCTAACATGAAGCTTTTGGCTGTCAATGTGCTCTCTGCAAGCTGTTGTCTGTACTGTGCCAAAGATTGATTGTGAGGGTAAAGAAACATTACTGTTTAACAACACTATACATACACCACTTCGACAAGACAGAGTACCTATTCCGCTTTAGAGAAATCATTGAGCTGATGTGTCATGTCAATATTTCAAGCTGATCAATTTAACAGTGCTAAACTCCAGACCTCCAGTATTTGGAGCAAGTAGATTGTGAGAAATAGAATGTAAAAGTAAGTAGGCATCAACTAATTTCATGTTCTGGTTGCAGCTACAAGCTGTGAACTTTAATTAGACCACGACTAAAAACGACTGCCTTCTCAGCTGACAGTAAAATGCAGACTTTTGAGTTCTGTTATTTATAACTTAATTACTTGCAAATGTTGAAAGCCAAACCTAACTAGATTCAACAAGGGATTTGAATGGATTCAGACTCTATACACAGAGTCAATTTAGTAAAACGCTATCAAATCCCAACCTATGTAAACACACACAGCAGCTTGACTGAGGCAGTAGTAGCACAGAGAGAAGAAGACAACAAGGCAACTGAAAGAACGCCCAACAGATGACCTCTCTCTTCAATTCAGTTCAAACTTCAAGGAACACAACTTAACTGTGTTTATTATTATCTATCTTGCAACAAGGTGCCCTGGTACATGGGCTGCCAGCTCTACCAGGTGAGCTACCAGGGCGCCCCAGCTTGCACATTTTCAACCTTATTTTCAATTCATATTGATCTAAACATATCAGATGATGAGCTGCAACTTGGAGCTGGGCATGAAGGCATGTGATGTGATAGCAGTGGTATGAAAACATTTTACAGATGGGATAACCCACCCCCCAATCTCATTTATCAACACTGTATCCATCTACCAAACTTCACCTTAACAAAAGCACATCGCCAACATTGAATCTCTCTCAGAGATTGAATTAAACTCTTCTCCCTGTCCTATAATTACTGTCAGTCGGTCTACAAAGCTAAATAGTGAAAGAGCTTTGTCTAAAGGTCAGGGTAGGGAAACCTGGCTGAGTTAAGTTTCTGTGCATGCTAATAAATGGATGTTCTTGTTCTGGGTGTACTCAAAGCTCCCTGTGATTAGGTGATAACAGCATTGTTATTCTGTGTTCACTTCTCTAGTTTGTGGCTCCTGGGTCTGATCTAAACACAGATGGTACGATACACTCAATAACAGGAAGGGCTCACAAATATTATTACACATGTACACTTGTATGAACCGTTGGAACAAATATGTAGGTCTTGGTCTTGACTTACTAACCTTTTTATCACCGTATGCATCACTAAATCACAAAGCGCTTCTGACAGCACTAATATAAAAACCAGTCAGACAAATCAGTTAGCAATTCTGTTGTTTTTCGAAATGTCAGAACATATGGGAATACGAGAACCTTGATGATGTGACTAATCAAAAAACTTTGACCGCATCAAATACCAAAGTTTGTTGCTTTGTTTTTAATACTTGATATTTATTTCCGAAAGGCATCAACATCCAGCGTGATTGTTGGTTAGGCTGACTGTTGTTGACAGCAGCTTAAGATTTGCAGATGGCAGTTTCCTTAGCACTCCCCTCCAACAAAAACACAGTCAGACAGGATGCTTGGTCCCACTTTGTGTTTTTGTCACATGTTCAGAGATGAAACGTACATTAAGCTTTGTGACGACTGCAGTAACCTTTTATAGGCTGTCATTAAAATTTAAAAGGGTCAAAATCAAATAAAAGGCAGCAAACAACAGCTTTCAATGACAGCATATGGTTGGCTTGGCATTATAAAGTACTCATATGCAGCCAAACTATTTTTTTTTACTTCATAAAACAAATTTACAGTTGTTTGCAGTTTATGTTTGGCTTGAAAAACTGTTATGCTACAATGTTGGATGTATTAAATTACACATGCTAATATATGGTTATCTAAACAAAAACATATAAACATACAACTTTTATGGAAAGAAGCAGGCTGGGAGAATTAACAGCACCTGTCAAGTATACAGAGCACAAGGCTGTTTCCATGACGACTGACAGTCAAAATAGACTCATGAAATAGTGAAAAAAGGGAGGAAAAATCTATCATACATTAATTTTATTGCATAGTACTTGACATCTAAAAATGTGCTCAAGAACTCACATTTTGTACATTTCATGAGATGACTTAATCTGCCAGGTATTAACTGTAATACCTTCACTTACGCTTCATTATTCTGAAGGTGAGCATGTATCATTGATCTGTGTCCTTTGTTCTAAAACTGAAAGTTTTGTTATTGCTGACAGATCAGTGTGTCCGATCAAAAACCACTAAAAGCCATAATTCAAACAACCACAACTCTTTTTCTTTTTTGTCATCCTTAAACAAGATGCCTAATCTCTTCATCTCTCGCTAGTGCTGTCACTCATCTCATTCCACACTTGTAGAGAGTTATCAAACAACTTTAGCCAGGGGGCAAATGGCTCAAACACTCAGCACAAAGCCACTTTTGTGTGGATGTCAATGGCAGAGCTGCAAATCCTCACAAACACTATGAGGCTGCAGGACTGGACAAGCACAATGGCTGAGCCACCCATTCATTTACATGCACACTGTGCATAAACATGACAACATGACTGCAACATGGAGAAATTACAAACATGACAACAGAAACAGGTGGAAGAGAATTTGTGTATTTTCCTTTGTTTATCTTGAGAAAAAGTAAATGTTATATTTTAAATGTGAAATTTTGACTTTTTAATATGTTGCCGTTTTTTGCCTTCAGTTGAATTAATAGAGGAAAAAGAGGACGTGTAGTGGGAACTTGGCTCCACAAACTCAAAAAACATTTTAATATTAATATGACTTATCAAAACTACCAACATTTATACTGCCATTTTAAACATTTATCTGATAACTCTTAAAAAGAGTGTCTCACAGATTGGATGTGTAATCAGCAAATTACTACATGCTGTGCTTTTTTTTTTCTACCCTTCCCGACACTCAACTAAATCAGAATTTTCAGTGCTTCCATGTGGACAAATAAATGTAATGCCTTATGTTTCACTTCACCTTACACAACTGTCATGTCATGTTGCTGGAGCCTGTGTTGACGCTACAAAACTGAAACGTGTTTGAAACGGAAACAGATGTGACAGCATTTGTTATTGTAGCTAGGGTCGTGCATGTTTTTAGCAACACCCGAGTCAGACATCAGACAGGAGTGATCCGAGGACTCTGATACAGAAACACAAAGGATGTACATGAGCAGCTTTTCATGCACACCACAAGTCTGCGTTTTTTTCCTGGAATAATAAAACCATTATAGACTGCAATATTTTAAAAATTCAACTGGAGACAACTCCTTTTTTAAAATAAATGCTAAGCAGTTTGGAACATACACAGGCACTGCAGAGCACCAGGCTTTATTACAGTGGCATCAGAAGCACAAACTAACTCATTTGCAGTCTGTACACTGTGTCTATGTGCTATATTTGACCAGAACAAAAACAGCAACGCCTGTACTGGATTTCTTCCCTTTAGCAAGACATATAGCTGTGAAACAATGGCCATAGCCTGACTTCAAAAGAAGCATTGCACTGAGATCATTCACTGCTTTCAAATAGCCTTTAACTAGCACTGGGCGTTGTCCTGCGAAAGAACAGACTTTACTACAGTAGCAGTAGAAGGACAATGCACCTCATTTATCTATATACTATATCTGTACACCACAATTGACCCTAACAAAACAGCCAGTACTGAATTACTTCCCTTCCACAAGACACATGGCTTTGGCTAATATGACACGATGGCTAGAGAACAGATTTAACCTGAAACGTTTAATTTGAAGGGTGCAAGTTCCCCAATCAATTCAAATTAGTAGGTTGGTTGGTAGTGTTCATATGTATATATGAAAAGTGTAAAGTGTGTAAAGAGTAGACTTTTTCCTACCATCGCTGCTGCCGCGGGCAACCAGGACGTCTGGCGACGGGGTCTGTCGTGAGCGTGAGCCGAAGGAGTCCAGACTGTCGAACGAGTCCTCGCGGCCGTGCCGTGGCGGGGAGAGAGAGTCACTGCGCTCAGAGTCCCAGCAGTCGATGTAGCCACTGTCCCGGATGCTGCGTTTAGGGCTCTCTGCCTCCTCCGCCTCCTGAACATGTAAAAACACATACAGCGTTTAAATCAAATGCAGAACTTAAATGTGTATACCCTAAAGGAAAAATACAGAACATTTCTGGCAAAATACATCCAGTAAACTTGCGTTGCGTTTCCTTATATTCATCTGACAACTTAACAGAATGTCATTTTCACCAAACCATATCTGAAGAATGTGTTTACCTCCTGTCCTCTACAAACATCTTACTGTAAGCCCTAGATCAACTTTCTGTAACCTTCTTGCTTTTTCTCTTTCTTTGCTTTTCATCTTCTTTTGCTAGATCCTATACAATCACTCTCTCTTCACCTCAGTGACCTCTCCCTTTGTCTGTCTACAGTTGAAACATGTGTATGCAGCTAATGGAAGGTGGGGAAAGGCCTTTCCTGTCTACCGAAAGACTTCCTTTTCCTGACCCCCGGACTGGCTGTTACACAACTCCCAATCCCCTGACAAACTCTATATTATGTTCAAAGCTAGGTTGTACTGCCACAGACTTTCTCTCTCACTTATCTCTTTGTTTAACATACAATTATAAACTTTCTTTGGTGAAGCAATGGCATTGTACAGATTAGTTTTCATTTTACCACTGCCATATCCCAACTCATATCTAACTTAGCCAAACTGCTCTTGATGCCTAAACCTAAAAGTTTATAGGGTTTGTTCTCTCGTATTACACAAAAAGAAGATAGTTCTGGCTTTATCTGTACAGGATTTTAGATATCTAAGAGAGGGAAATCGCAAAGTGAGGTAAGTGAGGTGGTATATATTTTTTTCTAATTTGAGTGAACAGACCCTTTAACTGAAATGACTTATCCTGAGCTACTTACAATAGGTTAGCGGATAAAACTGCAGCCGGGCCACTTATTCACCTGCTTCTTGCATTTCAATCATCATCTTTTAAAGGTCCAGCTTTCATTTTATTAGCATTACAAGTGAAGTGGGAAGTGCCAGCTTAATTCTGAACGGGTGCACCTGATGCGTTTTCCTTGATTTTCAAATTTCATGGCCTTGTTTTGGTCAGCTGCAACGTGTGAACATCTGGGAAGCTTATTCTTCTGAGTTGGCAGTGATTTCTTAGTTTTATTGAAGAGCAAAGGGACGTCACATTGTGGAATAAATCGCATGGGGGTGACATCATGGTTATGAGTGGTTGTCATAGACTCTCTGTGTGTGTGTGTGTGTGTGAGTGTGTGCGTGTGTTTGTTGGGGCTAATGCTAACTTTTCTCTGTCCCTTTGGCTCAGTAAAGGGGTGGAATCAGGTTGAGATGATTGACACAAGAGCTCTATTTAACAGTTCATCTCTGGACATCGTTATACGCTGCTGGAAAAGATTTAGAGAGGTCTGTGTATATTTAACAAACACACTTATTTAGTGCATCCAACAATAAGTGTATCATTTGTTTTTTCAGGACATTTGGTTAGATTTGGCCTCTCTCTGCCCCTAATACTGTACTTTACCAGCTGTTGTTGCTAGGAGATTTGTATTAAAACTGTAGAAACAACTACTGCTCTGGACACTACTAAACATGCACAAACCTTTCGCATCTGTGACAGCAGGGCCTCAAACTCTTTCAGGTCCAGCGTGGGCCCGTTGTAGGAGGTACAGCCGTTGGCAGCACGACCCAACCAGTAAATGGTGATTAGAACCTAAAAGGAAAGAATAAAATACTGTCAGACATCATCATCAATGAGATGAAGAAAACATCAGCTAAAGCTAAATAAAAGCATGGAACATAACCGTAAACAGCTTGCTGCTAAATATTTGTGTATTTTAAAAACAGAAGTACAGTAATGTGTGTGTGTATTTATTTTCCAGAGTGATTTAAAATAATAATCAACAAAAAATAACTATACTAAGTAATAATCCAATTAAGACTGAAATTTTGTTCATTTGAAACACAAAGAGAGATAGAACTGTTTATGATTATTTAAAACAACAGGAACACAGGTCATCCAGTGTTCCTGAGTGCAATTTTTAGAGTGCAAGTTCCTCACTGCAGTCAAAAATCTTCATAATGATACCTTGGATCCAGACATACTGTCCATTAGACTGTCAGGACAAAACATGTCATTCAAGGTACACTCAGCCAATTTGTTTGAAGCCTGAGTCGGCTCGTCCAAACCAATCATTGCCACAAAATGAGCACAATTGCATAACATTAGGGTATTGTAATTTTAATGTTTTTCAGAGGAAAACTGCAATATAAGTAGACAGTATGTGGCAATGCAGGCCAACAAATGAAACCTTTCCAAACAGGTAAAATGGCTACAAATAATATTTTGTTAGATCCCGGTTGTATTGACGGAAGGTAAAAGTGCACTAAAGCAAACACTTGAAACCATTCTCCACTCTGTTCCTTCCACCTTTCTCCCTACAAAGCAATACAAGGTAGATTTCTGGTCATTACAATCCAGCCTCTTTCAAAAAAGTTACATGCTAGCTAATGCATGCTGCACAAACACGACAAGAATGAGCCATTGTTCTTAACCTGAAACCACCACCACTTTTGGAAAAACACAGCATCCCTTCCGGGGCTACAGTGATTTATATTTGCCTGGTCGGTAGCTTAGCCGCAAGTGCATACATTACCAGATCAATCTCATCTCCTTCCAACATAGTAACCCTGTAGAATCAGTAGCCAAAGGAGGCCATACTTCTCACTCTTGCTTGTAACCCGATGCCCTGAAGTAATGCTGAATGTGACTGAGGAAGTGAGGCTTACTGCATTTAATGTGACTCCCTTTGGAGTCAGCTAAATGCCTAAAATGCAGAATGTACAGATTGGCTGTAGCCACAGGGAGATCACACAGAGCTGCACCTTTAGCACTGTTAGCCAAGTGTTCCCAGCTATATTTACTGTGTCCATGTCAACCGGCACTCCACGGGGATTGCTTTGATAAGAAAGCTCAGCATGGCTTAATGTGTTTATTTCAGTCATACTGTCAGTGTAAACACTGTCTGCCGTTCAAACACACTTGGAGGAAGAGCAAAGAAACTGTTGTGCTGATCAGAAGAAGCAAGTCTTTTCTGTGTGATACTGTGTTGATTCCTGAAGGGAAATTCATCTTTTAGGCCAAAGTCTTACTAACTGCAACTCTACAGCAGGGAGAGATTCAACATTTTGCTCAAAGACCCTTTACAAAGGTGGACACCAGATAATCTAGGATCAAATCATAGTTCTTGTCAAAGGTAGATCAAAACTGCTGCAGATAGATTTGCAGTTTTGGCATTTGTCAAGTTTAATTTTAAACCTGCTGTGCTTATGCTTTATTATCTGCACACTTTAGCACCGTGAGCAGCAGAGTGTATTGCTTCTGTGCCACCAGTATAATGACAACATCCATGCCAGCTCCCATTGGAAGTGGGTCAGCACCAAATGTGTTTCACTTGCTTACTAGTATGCTTTAAACGCATCAATATTGATCTAAACTGCAAAACGCAATGGGAAACTGTGCCACAACTGCGCCCAATATGATTTACACATGCAACCCTAAACCTACAACAAACAACTGTACAAAAACCGAAACTTGGACACAAGCACCAAGCTACAGTAGTTTAAATAAAACAAGCCTGTAGAGTTTTGACTGGCAGAAATAATAAACAAAAGAACGGCCAGTGAAATGATGCATAGGGTCACCCTGCTCTGCCTCTTCAGTTGCAGCAGCTGTTTGATCTGGCAGATGTGGAAAGACCTGTCTTAGAGGTTCAAAAACGTCATCTCTTTGTTTCATGTGCACACACACTTAAGTGATGCATACACAAGAGCAGGAATAACCCCCCCTAAAAATGAGACCTGCAGTGTAAACACATACACACAAGCCCAAGCGTGCACACATTGCACAGGACATGTGACAATTCACAGTGCTGTAGTAGTACATATAGCTACAGATTCCCTATACTAGTCATCGCAATACACACATGCACAATCAGCCCTTCTTGTTCACACCTGCACTTGCTAAACGATCATCCCATGACTCCAGCAATATTCTATCCATCCATGCAGCACCCTCTTTTTACTTCAACATCCAATCTGTTTGCTAAACAACACCTTTATCGCCAGATCAACAAATTCCTTTCAGTGTAGTTCCTTCATTTCTCCAAATGTGATGTGCTGCAGAGACTGCTGCCATCAAATCCTAGTCCTCAGCCTGAGTCTGCAGGGCAGATCCATAGTGCGGGTAGCATACCGTTGTAGCAGGTCCTGGCTAAAGTGCTGGCTGCTGGGACTTTGTGGGCCGTTTGCTATTGCTGCAAGCACTGGCTAATGTGGCTGAGAGTCCTTGTGTGTAGTCAGCTAAATGAGCTAGCAGCTCAGGCTGGATCTGCAGCTCGACACATTCACTTGTACAGTGCACGGAAGCATCAGAGAGAGGGAGGGAGAGAGAGACAGATAGAGAGAGAGAGAGGGCTTTGACTGCAGAGTGGGCAGGGCTAGCATTTTGTGTTAAAGAAGCATTATTACAAAAAGAGAAGAGGGTGTTGAGGTATATTTGAACAAAAATGGACTGTAAAAATAGATTATTAGAAGGGAGACAGAACAACAAATACACCTAACTAAAATATGCATAATAGGAAGAACTAAACTGGAATCTAGAATATGTAGAAAAAGAAAATAGAGCAGATAAAACAGACAGGGGTATTGACATTTAACTACTGGGTAAAGCATACAAATACTGAATAAAACTATAAAGAGCAGAGTAAGGTACTGTAGATGGACTGTGTGTATAACTGACAGTGCAAGAAGAGCTGAGTAGAGTAAAAACAACAGATAGACAGATAAATAGAGACAGAAGAGAATACACCAGTGGAATACGAAGATCAAACTGAGTTGGGAAATGTAAAACAGACAATCAACTGAATATGTAGAGCTAAAAGATAGACAGATCTCCACAGGCAGATGGAACAAAAGCAGGTAGAGTAGATAACATTAAAATATTTGGTAAAGAAGACTACATAAGATAAGGTAAAGCTACAATATCTTCACACAGTAAACCAGCCTACATAGTATGTATAATTATAGTAGGTAGTCTTCTAGTTAAATAAGCTGACTGTAGAGTGAAGATAACTGGTGGAAGATGACGAGAGCAGCTGAAGGAAAAGAGTGTCAACCACAGCACAAACAGAAACACTGGGCCATAATAACAGTTTCCATCCAAACATACATTTAGCACACAAACAAATTATCCCCACCGTAATCCAGAAGTTTCACTTACATTCTTGAGCTTTCGGCTGCAGTCACTTCCCCTGGGAGGATGAGAAAGAGAGGGAGAGACAGTGACACACTGACTTCTGGTGTTATTTAATGAAATATCTCACATAAAATAACACCTTTTAAAGCAACCAACTCCCACATTCCCATGCGGCAAAAACAAAACCTATTGAATACATAGAGGAATCTGCAGTGACTGTAGCCCACACAAGGAGAACTAGCAGACTTCCTACATTTGGATCTCTGGATCCAGTTTGTAGTTTGGTAATGTATTTATTCAATATTTCCAGCAGTTGTGTTCAATGGCTGCAGTTTGGCTTCAGCTATCTAAAATATAAACTACATCATGGAATATTTGTGTTAGACTCTCTGGACCAAACAGCCGGGGCCCCTTTCTAGATCTGCCATTTTGCACCAGCCCCCATCACTCACAAAGACTTTCTTTAACAGAAAGTCAGAAGTCAGAGAAGGCAGATGTCACAGTGGTGGCCACATGGTTTGACTGCCAAGTGATCTCTGGGAGGTGCAGTGCAGAAACACCACAGCAGTGGCCACTTAGCGCCACAGATGTTGCCAAAATGAAAAGATGTGGATCTTGCGGATCACCACTTGAAGCTATAAATGGGAAGTGGAATGAACCAGTTGTAAAAATGACCCCAATACACACTTGTGTTGTGGAAATAAATACTTCTAGGCTAAGAGAGAGAGACAGACCAAAATACAGACAAACATACAAAGAAGTACAACATCGTATGAAACCTGAATTTCTCTTCTACTTTTAACTCAACAAAATCCACCTTCTCTCTTTTTCTCTGTGTCCAATAAGCACAAAAGATCGGTGCAGCCTGAGGAAAGGTCAAAAATCACACTACAGACATATACCTTTAGTAAAGTAATGTCTCTCCTTAAATATGAAAAACAGTTATACACTATGCTAATGCTAATAATAAAGCAACATTTCCAAACTTTTACAAAAGAAAAGTTGAACTTCTTAAAGTGTTTTTAAGACAGAGTTGAAGGCAAGACGGATGCCAAAGTCTTCCTGCCAAAGTCAAAGCACCCTAATGGAGAAGCCTGGTCCATCAGCTTGGATTGTGACCAAAAAAGCTCTAAATCTGTAGTCGGGCTCGTTGGGTTAAATGCTCTGCAATATAACCAAGTGCTAGCCCAAAAGCCAGCCTTACAGGAGAGCAAATAATTCAAAATTTACACAGGTTTGAAATGGAGCCAGCCCAGAGAAGCCAGTATGGGAGGGATGTGGTTTCTCTCTCTGGTGCTAGTTGTGAGGCGACTGGCTGCTGTGTTTTGCAGGATTTGCCAGAAGGAAAACATGATGGTTTGAATATATTTCCCTCATTTTCTATTATTATAAGCCTTATTTCATCATGATCAAGAAGAATAACAAATCTTGTTTTATGGATATTAAGTTCACTTTACATGGATGACAGAGAGAGTCAATTGTCTATGTAGAACACATGTATGGGTAAATGATTGCTTTACATGGATGCAATGGAGGTTCCCATAAATGGAAAATAGATAACCTTTTTATGGAAAACAGGTTACCTTGTATGAGTATGAAATACTGTGAAAAACAGCACCTGAAATAGATAACAGGGTCAAGAGATGAATATGAATAGAGCTGGAACGATGCTCACATGGGCTGCAAGTAGGCGAGCATATATAAGTGTAACTTAGGGACGTTTGTGTGGCTGTTAAACTTTTAAGTAGCATGCCTCCCAACAGAGCTGAATCAACCAATAAACCCGTTTGACATGTACTGTAGGTCCACACAAGGTGTTGATTTGGGAGCTGTGTGCATCAGGTCCTCTGTGACATATGGTTACTCATAACAGCGTAGGTTCGTAGCGACTCATCTTCCAGTGAAAGCATAATTCCAGTGCAATAGGTTACTTACTATACCTTCTATATACACACACTGCTCTGTAGCTATATCTACTGGAGAACGAGGTAAACACACAGACTTGTTTGGATACAAATCTGCTTATAATAATGATGCAGTGCATCACCTTGTATGGGAAATTTTAAGAGTTGTTTAATGTTTCGAGTTGAATGCCACAACAGCAGATGTTGTTGTCTCATTCATAGAAAATATTGAGCATTTTGTTTATATTTCTTAATAGACAGTATACATTATAAGACTGTTTATAACTAGTTTCCAAAGCCTGAGGGTCACAAAGCCCAACTCACTCAACACACGAGTGACACCCAAATTGCAGTTGCGTAAGTTTTCCATGACAGCAGTGACCTGACAGTGAGAGGAGTGAAAGAGAGAAGAAGAGAAGAAAGTAGCTAGAGGGAATGATCTGTAAACCTTCCCCCTCCTCCTTCCTCCTCCTTATCATCATCCTTTCTTTCTGTCAGCTGGCTAAATAAACACAGAGACAGGTTGCTTTTCTCTGCCGTAACCTTGTAGAAGCAAACTTGAAGGACAAGAACAACAGATTCCACAAGGTATTAGATCACATTGTCATAATATGGGCATATTCTACCCTTTACTTTTTCCTTCTCGGTAATAAGTGTCTAAGGATAGAGGGTGTTTTATGCTATACAGATTGTAGCCCCTTGAGGAAAATGGTGATTTGTGATGCGGGGAGTACACTGTTTATAATCAATAGAAAGATTTGTAATTTAAAAATATTTTAAGAACATTTTTGAAGTTTGCAATAATTACTTTCTTTTTTTCCTACACAAAATAGGAAAAATTTAATGATTAACTTATAATTTATATTTTTCTCCCAGGTTTTATTGTATTCTGCCTACAATTTCATGCTTGTAAGTCAAGATTAGAAAAGCTTAGAGCAAATGTCAAGTGCACACCATTACATTGGAAATGCAGTTGCTGAATAAAAAATGATGCAGGGTTGGCACAACCTGGCTGTGGAAGTCCTCAAATGTAAATGAAAACCTCCCAGAAATGTACCAACCAGGCTCCATTTTT